ATATAATCAAAATTAAAATAAATCCGCTCGCGGCATCGCAACAGGAAAATTGGACATGGATGCTCTGATACACTTTCAGATACAAATACAAATCACAGACAGTCATGTTGGCAGATACTTTTTAGCCACTTTGACTAAAGCAATAACATTACCGCTCGGCTAGCCCAACTATTTTTGGCAAAAAAATAAAAAAACGAGAGAGAGAAAAGCAAATTAAAAATGTATTTGATTTTCGTTTTGTTTTATTTTGGAAAAACATAGAAGGAAAAGGGGGAGAAAACTGAAAACTGAAAACTGAAAGTGCAAAGCATACAATTTTGAACTTGGCACGAGGGAGAACAACAGCGTGTGGATGGGATTTTTGGGTGCACCCAGATAGCTGGTTAGGATGCAAATGCATCTGCATCTGCCAGTACGCGTATCTGTATCTGCATGTCTGTAGTAAAGTAAGTGCGGTACGGTCAATGCACAGCGACGTAGACGGCCAGACAAATATTTGTTTGCTTTTTGTTGGCTTTGTCATCGGTGGGTGGGGTGGGTGGCTGGGCACGGGAGGGGGGGTGGAGCAGAGTGGGTGGAACAGGGGGAGGTGCTTGGGCGGAATGACCACGTCACCCAGCCGGGCCTCATCTTCAACGTCGTCGTCGTCGTCGTCGTCGTCGCAGTCGTCATCCATATGGCAAACTATTTTTAAATATGTTTTAATTATTTGCTGGCATATTCCTTAAAGCGTTGACTAGTCGGCGTCTCCGTCTGCTGACTGGCCCCGCCCCCCTGCGCAGCCTCCTCCGCCTCCTAGAAGCCCCCTCTTCCCCTTCACCCGCAATACTGAAACCAACAACAACAAAAAACCGGGGGTGTGCCACACATGCAACTACTTTCGAGGTTTTCTCTGTTAGACTTTGGCTTGCTCCATATTTTCTTTGTTTCTTTTTCATGGAACACTCTTTCTAATGCCTCTTCTGTTTTCAACACACTAATATTAACAAACTCTTATTGAAAATTAACACTTAAATCCGTTTAAATCCGTATCCTAAAAGCATTTCCCCTTTTATTTTAGGCAGTAGCAACTAATCGCATCGAAGAAATATAGCCATAGTAACTGGGTAAGAACAAATAGCCTTCTTACTTTATATTAATACTCTTAAACTTATTTTACAATATTTTCATTAGTTCGATTGTACAGTAGAGTAATGTGGACTTCGTTGTTCGCTTCTTTTTGCTTAGCTACTCTATGCAGAGTACATTAAGTGTGAAGTTTTTCGCCAATAGAAATATTATTGTCGCGTCGCGCATAATGTGTCGCAGCTTGCATGTAATTTTCTAGATTGTGCAGTCGACGCGGCTGACATACTCGCATAAAAACAAAATATAAAAATGCGCAAAATAAGAAACAAACAAACAAATACTTAAAGAAAAATCCAGTCTCCTTTTGCAGTTGTTCTCAATAGGATACTCAAAGAAAATAGTTTATTTGCCAAGCCATTTGCAGATCAACTGGCTCGGTGTCGCCCAAGTTTCTTATATACTCGTACGCTATAAATGTTCGAAAGAAACCTACTTAGATTTCTATTAATTTCTAATTTTTTCGTATTTTTTGATCGTGTTCTTTTGGAGTGGACCGCACCCATTGCCATCGATCGAACTGTAGAGCTAGTCAAACAAGGAACAATCGGTCAGCGACAATGAAAATGCCAAGTGCGAGTTCGAGTAGCTTTTTGCCGCCGCTGCGGCATTCGAACAATATTTTTAGTTGTACTTTTCATTTTCTATTTATTTAACTGGCAGACTTGAGTCGGCCAACAAACCGCATGCACGCTCGCTTTACAGGCTTCTTTTTACCACGGAAAATGTGGAGGCTTTGGGGCCATTTGGGGGGCAATGGGGCGGGGCTTTTCCAGACGAGACGGGACGCCAATGAAGCGAGAAAAATTACTGTTTGTAAAGTGAGTTTGTCAACATAAGGCGTGTGCATCGCAGAACCAGACAAAAGCCAGATACAGATACAAATACGAATACAAACACTGATACAAACAAGTATCATTAACGCAATGCCCAAACCGTTAGAGAGGCATGCATTCGAGCTGAAGTTGGAGTTGGTGGCATCTTTACCTGGAAGCCGACTCCAAAAAGTCCATAACTCCAAGTATTTTTCTGCAGAACTTTTCGTTTGGCTCGGAATGACGGCCCAGAAGCAGCTGAAGGATGAGACGGCTGGGGAGGTGGGGAGATCATGACGGGGGCAAAAGTGGGGGACATGGGCATTGTAATTGAATACCTGGCATACTCATCTTTTCCACCACTTCAACCATGTTTACATTGGCATACCCTCACTCCTCGCTGGGATTATGCTTGTTTGTCGGCACTTGAAGACCATTTTGTTGGTTAGTACCATGAATTAGTTTAAGATACTACGATTTCTTAGGGGTTCAAGGTTTTATGCTTAAAATAAAAGTTGTTTGCTTCCTTACACATAGAAATAATAATCACAATTGCTATATTAACAGTATTTCTCATAAATAAAATAAATTACTATAGATCTCAACATTCCCAACGATAATTTTAAGATTGCAGCTATATCTCGTTTATATTAAGGCATACACAGTTCGATCAACGCCAGCTGTAAGTTTTTTGGGCTTTGTTTATCTAGGCGGACATTTATGGTTTGTTGTCCTGGCTGAAAATGGCACTGGACCCATCTCAGATGGAGGCCAAGAAAGCCGAAGCCAAGGCTACTGGACAAGGTCTGCGGCGTTGTCAGCAATTACTCATTTATGGCTCGGCCCGGCATTTCTCGCTCTCGGCTTCTGTGTGAGCTGGTATCTGCGTTTGCTGCCATCTACAGATTGTGCACTGAGAAAAGAAGTGGAAAGTCAAATAACGTTATAATATCCAGAGCGCTTAGCTTGGATGAAAATGTTAAGATCGCTTGTAGTTACCACTAAAGTTATAAAGTTATATCTATATTATATATGGTACATTGCCAGTTACTAAGTATGTAATATATTTCCTATAACTAATCATATTTTTTTTAAGGTGCACCTTTTGATTTATGCATTCGACTCGTACTTGGGTTCGTGTGCTGCACTCTTTTATTGGATCTTCGAGGATCCGCACCGGTTATTGGCTTTTGCCGGCTGCTTCTATTTATAAAGATTACGTGTAATTAAAATCGGTTCCCCAGCATCCTCCGCCGCACATCTCGTTACGCTTGTCACCCTGCCGTTACTTGCGAAATAAATCGGATCGAAGTTAAGTTGAAGTTGCAGTGATCGGGGAAATCTGGTTCGAGCAACTTGACTGGGTGGCTCAGCAGGTTGAGTCCGAGATTCTCTGTGACATCATATAATTGGAGCGCTTTCCTATAGGAATATTGATTGCATTATAATGGACATGAAATGTGGACAGGGAGGATTCCAAGCGGGTAACTGCGCTTGACAGGAGAAATGTATATAAGTTATAAATCAAGAACCACCCAGAACTCATACTGCATTAATGCTATATATATGATTAACAAAGTAACGAAATATTTATAAATTGTCAAAGATATTTTTCTTATCATGCATGCTGCAAGTGTTTTTCATATGCTAAAGGATCCCTAGAGAAACTCGATACGATTGGCTGGGATCGATCTGAAATCCCGCCTGCGGAACTGTTCGTTTCACTCCACTGAAAACCGAAACAGTTCTCCCGATGCGGAGTAATCAGGGCAATTAGATGTGCTCATTATCTCGGCAGCAGATAATGGACAGCCAGGGGTCAAATGAGCACGTTGGAGGGTGGGCAATGTGAACTCTGACATGCCCAGTACGCCGCGCTCTAGGCAACAGTCCTCCACCTCCGTGGCGATAAGCAAATTGATTTTTGAACACGCGTAATCACATTTCAAGATTCTATTTTAATAGGGCATTTAAGTATATGCGCGAGAACGATGTGGATGCCGTAGGAGGGCTATCAGTTAATAGTGGTTTTCATGACCTCGGCGTCTGTGTTATCGAGCCCCCAAATACTCCCCAATGCAAGTTTGTGTTATTTTTCATCCGACGAAATCGGAATCTTTATGTGCCATTTGACACAGTTGGACAGGCACTGGTTCACTTATGCAATCGAATCGTCCGACGACCGCTATCAGCATTTCCAGTCATTTCCACATAGTGGAGCCTCTAATCTCGGTGATGCCCTCCGATCCTCTGCCCCTCTAGCCCATTTCCCCAAAACTGGCATGTTATGAGCACATGAATCCCATCGTGGCATAAGATGTAGTCTATTCGTGAACCCCGCTGAACTTTGGGCTACAAAATGCAACTTATTCACGTACTCGGAATATATTTCATTTACATTCCGATTATATTGATTGCTGATCATTTCGTCTAACCAAAAATGGGGCAATCTCTTTGGTGTTTTTTCAATAATTTTGTAAATTAGGATCGAATAATTTATATTAGAAAAAGATTCATAAATTCATATCTGAATATGGCGATAATGGGAGTGTTATGTCTTTTTAAATACTTTCTTTTGGTTCTCGGGATTTTCAAACCGTTAGCACGAAATACAGATACAGAATACTAAACTTTAGTTTTGCGTTCTACTAAACTTTGATATTGTATACATTTTTTGGCGTTCCGTTTAACTTTTATTTTTAAGACTCTGACATTTTGCGAGTAGACAATGTGAACCGAGAATCGGCGGCGTCGAAGACGTTCGTTTCCCTCTTAAATGGCGCTCCCAAATCTATTTTCACCCTTCGTCCGACCATTTGTCCGTTTGTCCGCGAGTGTGTCTCCCGTGTCCGTCCGTTCGTCCGTCAAATTGTCAGTCCGTCCGGACTCGTTTGTGTCCACCTCTGTCTAGCCGTCAGTTTGCGGTGCGCTTTCAGTTTTAGCATTTACTTCTAGCATAGCTGGCATTTTTGTAGCAATTCGTGTCTATATGGTTTGTTTCCACCTCGTGCCTCTCTGATTTTCGCATTCTATATTCTATTCGGTGCTCTCTTTGTTATGGGTCCGGGTACGTAAATGCCGCGTGCTCATCACTCGCAGACACTTTAGAATGCAGCCAGTATCTTTAAGATGCGAAAGATGGACGGAGATCTTAAGTGGCGTAAAAGCGAAAACGGGAGTACTGACGATTCGGGGAGATGTACGGATTTTAAGAACAAGATTTTCTTTGGCTCTGTACCTTGATCTCCATCACTTTGCCATGCCCAAAGGATACAGAAAGTTCAATCTCCAAGTTAAACATGCTCAGTCCGATTAAGAATTTGACCGATAATAAAATCTTACAGGGGTGGAATTTTTGTAACTCAAAGTTTTCAGCAAATATAGGTTTGCAAGGGGTGATTAATATCTCAAATGATTATTAAAGTCAATACATTCGAACTGCAAAAAGTCAAATTCGTTGTTTACTATTCATTGTTGTTACAAATATTTTGGGTTAGTCAGCTTTGAACTAAAATTCAACATCAACTCGAATGAAACCCATAGGTAATACAATCCAACTATCTTCATGCGAATACGAGGAGTGTTGGCCATGTATCTGATGTTTCTTCGCCTGCTCTTCCACTGCACCAACGGTCACTTATTGGTTAGGGCAAGTGATTGACTAGATCTTTAACATCTTCAACTGGTTTTTGGTCTTCCAACCTCAGCGACACAGATCCCTGCACAAGCGAATGATCAATCCCCGTGAGCTCTTAAACGATTTTGCTGCAATCAAGGAACTAGGAACCAGCGATTCTGGTAGATCAGTAGCTTTGTACGATAATGGAGGAGCTTTGCCAGGATCAGGAGCAGAAACGGGAGCAGGAACAGGTCCTCCCAAGGAGAGCTCCAGCAAGGAGTGCAACATGCAGACAAAGTGCAATGTTAAGTCGATCATTACTCCCGGAGATCCCAAGCAAAAGTCCTCGATGATCGCCATGAAAGCTGCCCAGGATGCAAAGGCGGCCAGTGAAGCACAATCGGCCGCTGGCCTTGCTGCAGCCCAACACATCAAGATGGAACTCGCGGAGAAGGCCTTTCAGTCGGCCAAGGCCGCCGAGGCAGCTCTGATGGGCAAGCAGATGATGCTCGATCAGCTGGAGCAGGAGGTCCACGAAGCTAGTGCCGTAATCGAGGAGGAGACCAACTCCATCCAGCACACGGAGGCCAATATGAATGCCGCCGTGGAGGCCGTTAAGGTCGCCATGCAGCAATTCGAGACCATCAACGAGCTGCAAAAGACCTCCAAGGAGGCACTGGCCAATATCCAGACGGTGGCCATAGGATCGCAGCAGGAAATGGCCACCAAGTCGCAGCTCCTGGAAGCCGCTCGCAACCGGTTGGCCGTGCTCCAAAAGCATTTGGTGAGTGCCCACGACGACTATGAGAAGACCAAGCAGGCCGCCTACAAGGCAGCCTGTGCCGCCGTGGAAGCCAAACAGAGGGCTGGACCCTCATACCCACAATATTATATTTTTTAAATCGATATACCTTAAGGCAGCTTTAATATATAATTGATCCAACGAAAGACAATGCACACATATTTTAATTAAACTTTCATACTAGAATTCTATACTATATTCCTATAAAGGAAAGTCTTTGGTAGCCCTTTCCAACTAAGTGAGTTATATACAATGCGATTTCATTTACTTCGAGACATAAACATGGCTTTTGGAACCTATAAACACCAATTTCTGGATACACTAAATAAGACCTGCAGGTGTCTGCCATGGGATCGGGTAACACCTTAATAGCTATAAAAGCTACTTTCAGTGGAGGTAGTTCTCAGAGTAAGCCCATTGCTCCGATTGAGATGAAGTGCCTCCTGGTAGCGATAGCCTGCTTGATCACTTGCTCCCGAGTAGGTGGCCTCGTGCACTATATGAAACTGGCGAAAGGACGTATGTACCAGATATGATCTATTAAAATCGACAAAGTAGGCAAAATCAATTTCAGAGAACGGATGCAAATCCCCCAAGGGTGCAGAGATGGCTGTGGGTGCTGTGGAGCAGGATGATAAGACTTGTGGAGCTATTACGTGTCAAAGCACGGAAGGCGATGCTTTTGTGCACTTGTAAGTTGTTTCTTTAATTGGAAGGCAGTAGTTTAGCAACTTTCCAAAGGTATTTAAAAACACACCTTTTGTACCATGCAGATTACCAGATCATATTATATTAAACATCCGTTTCAACTTCGGAATCCTTTTAGCTGTCAGATACCAGCCACATTTGCGGAGTGTGTGGAGACTGCTGTTTTGACGAACGTTGACTTTCCCCAATGCTGTTGGACATGTGCCGCTTGGGCGAACTGCGATGGAGGAGGTGCTGCACCAGGAGCAGGGGGTGAGGCTCCTGCCGAAGGAGCTCCTGCTGATGGAGCACCTCCACCCGCTGCAAGAACCCATATAAAAAATCAGAAAAACGTGGCTTCTACAGCTGATACAATGGAAACAACTACAGAAAGTGAAAGACCACGCACCAGGGGAAAATGGGGCGCCAAGAGGAGCACTACCCTTTCCGATGAATCCGAGTTTCCCGAGGGAGATGTCAATATACGGTTTGGTGGCGGAACCCCGATCTCCAAGTTTGGCGAAGACAGCATTTAAGCTCAGATGCCTTAGTAATGTTCTGGTAACCCGCCTAGTTATTAATTTAAAGCTCGATTCCGACCATAAACCATAAATAAATGACACGGCAATGTGCACTTCATTTGTCTCCTCGCAAAACTGACCCACATATACGCACGTCAGATCGGGAGTGATACTCGTATCTTTGCCGGCATATTTCTGGTTTTCGTGTGATTGTTGTTCCTCCTGCTGCATTTTTTCTTCGGTTTTTTAATTAGCCGCCGCTGGCGAACAAATCGGCCCGAAAAACAGGAAAAGGGTTTCGATCGGGTCCTTCAACCCGAGTGAAAAAATTCAAAAACCATAAAGCGAAGACGACAGCGCATACGAGAAAAATTGAAAACCAGATCTCCGCGCCAGTTTCGGGTTTGAGAATGGGCATGGGATTGGACTTGGACTTGGACTTGGAATGGAGAGCTTGAGCAGGTAGGGCCTGTTCCCTTCCGCAGAACACTCCACCCTGGAGTAAAACAGATTCGGCATGATGTACATTAAACGGGAAAGACAAGAATAAACCCCGAAAAAAAATGAAATGAAATGAAGCACCGAAATCCCAAAAGCTTTTTCGCCCAGATAATTTGTGAGTGCGGCTGCAGTTGACACCGAAAGACCCCTACGGCCACCAATACGCACATAATTACTATATACAAACCCACATCCTGGACCGATTTAGATCCTTGCTGCGAAATGGTGAATCCCATTGAAAAGTAAATTGAAAAATTGCGCAGCTACAGTCAAACATCTGTATCTTAACAAAAAGAAACGTCTTTGAGTACTTGTAGTATTTTTATCTGAGCATAACAATTTACACTCACCATAGATTTTAATATTTTTATTTTAGTTTTTTTAATTCTAATTAAAAAACTAGTTCCTCTACGTTTAAATTAAACTAGTTAATGTTTGATTAAACTTTAATTAAATGCCATCAACTCAAATCTAGCTTAAGCAATAATATGAAATTTATTAATTGTACATTGTATTCCTTTTTATTAGGCGTTGAACTAAACTTAGTAAGTGTACATTTTCAGAGTAGGGTATCAGCTGCTCTGCCGCTGCGCTGCTTTTATTAATTGAGTGAGCATGTCCATTTTGAGGACAGCCTCCCAAAAGGGAGGGAAACGGAAAAGAAATTACAATATGAGGGAGAAAAGAAAATAACACGAAATAAAGACGACCAAAAATTTCAAAAAAAAAAAAAAAAAAATAATAATAAAGAAACAGAAATCAATGGCTACGTCTTATTCAGGAGTAACGTAACCAGTTAATCACGTAAAAGGCCAACGTGCCAAAGTTCCGAAAACCATGCGGTTGCAACATGTTCGGTGCGAGCGAGACGCCAGTAGGATTAGGCGTAACAGACCGGCTAGCCGCGAGCGGGAGTGAGATGCCGCTACCGACCGGCGTTGGCTAATAGAAATGCGACAACAAATAACAAGATTCCCGGCATGTGAGAGCGAGCAGGAGGGACAGACGGCGGAACAGCTGTGCGGGATGCAACAAGTTCGACGTTGCGCTGCTGCCGTTTCGACGTAACGTGCCGAGCAGAGAACGAAGATATAGTTTCCCCAAATCTAAGCGTTATTATGAATACAGTTGATCGTGGGACTCGTGCGCCAATGGACGTAAGTTCCAGGAAAATAGAAACCAAAAACAAAAAAGTAGAAAATAAACCAAAAAAAGAAAGAAACCAGAACCCTTGAGGAAATCAAAAGTAAAGAGGAGCGGACAAGTGCAACGTTCGAAACTCGGTCAAGTGTTAAGAGAAATTCCAAATAACTTCTAATGAATTCTAATTCGTAACGGGTGTGTGTGTGTGCCGATCGGGAGCCAAACGATATTTTTAACACCTACCGGGCTTTACGCGTGTTTCACACATTTCCAGCACCCAGCACCGTTGAACGCGGATCCGAGATCCCAATCATTCACTTCACCCAACTTCGGTTCACTGAAAGAAAAATGAGGCGCGAAATAAACGCGCGAACTTTACACGTGTCTCGATCGCTGATTCACTGTTTCGTGGTATGCCCAAAAATTATAGGCAATTAAGCAAATTTTCCACAATTGATTATCATTGAAATACGGCAATGCCAAAGGCAATGTGCTAATGAAAGTCTCAGCCAAAAAAAGAACAAAGATTTCTGTAACCGTGGACGGAAGCTAAACTTCATGTCATGATTTAATAATCACAAAGGGCCACGGAAACAGCAAGCCAAGTCGCCAAGGTAACAGGTGTCAGCTAGAGTTAACCAAAGAAAAAGTTAAGATCTTTAACATACTTTCGAAAAATTAATGATCAAGATTATGATAGCTGAAATTCTATGTTGGGGTCACCGTAGAAAATCGTAGAGCCTTTTTATAGTCTTTATTTCGCAGTTAATGGGTAAATTTCACCTTGTTGCTAACGTAACAGCACTTCAAAACTTTATCAAATTTCATGTATATTTTTTACTCCTGATGCCACAAGTATAACCATAAAAAAGACGTTCATTTTTTTAGAGATGCTCAAGCCCCCTTTTTCGCAGCTCAATTTCACTTTGATTAATCAATGAAAGCCCGTAAAAGTTAAATCGGGCGGGAAAGCAACGGAGGGGGTGGCGTCTAATGGAGGGGGCGGGAAAAATAATTGATAAAAGCAAGGCAGGCAGAGACGCGGAAGGGCGCCAAAAAGGAAGCCGCGAAACCGTTACAATATACACGACAAAGGAATGCGTCACAGTTAAAAATCAAATCACACATTAACGTAACGGCAACAGCGACGCAACGCACCAGGTTCCCCTGCGTTGCAACAAGTTTGAAGCAGCGCTGTCGACGCCAACGTTTGCAGAAGATCGCGGCTAGAGATGGTCGCGTGCTGCAAACACGTTTAGTCTGAAATGCTATTCGCTGGAATTGTTTTGCCTTGCAGGCAGCCACAGATAAAATCACATAAGTAATTGCATAAGTGTAGACGAAAGCTGTAAAGTAGTTTTCCAAACTGAAACTATTTCTCAGAATAATATTGTCTTTTGAACTACTGGCATACAAACGACTTACTGCCAGGCACACGTGGTCTTGGCAGCGCGTTCGTGTCACGCAGCAAACATCGTGCGCCGCTGCCACCTCTAGCCGCGGGCAGCGCAGCCGTCGGCGGAGCTCGTCGGCGCCGCAGCTTTCAATTCTTTTTTGGTGCTCGATCGTGACGGTTTGCTCGCTCTCCGCTGCGCCGCTCTTTCCGTTGCATGTGTGTGCGGGCGTTATTGTGCATGTTTCCGGTGGCCGAAAAAATAGTAAAATAAAATATAGAAGAAAAAAACCAAGAATAATAACAGCCACACGATAAACAGTGTGCCAAAGTGTGTGTAAGTGTGTGCGTGGTTGTGTGCATCTCGCGTAACAACAATAATTGCATTTATCGGATGGCGCCAGTTTCAATTTAATTATAAATAACATGTTCAACTTTTTCTATGATTTTCCCTGCGTCAAAGTGGGCGTTACAACTGCCCCCGGGAAAATCACGCGCCTCGGTTCAAAGTTAAAGTTTGTTGGGTAACGCACACACACACACATTGGCACACACGCGGTCACACGCATATTTCAATAAACTAATGGAGCCTGGCTTTGTTTTTGTTTTACTTCCAACCCACTTGAGCACAGAACACAGAGAGAAAAAATCAATACTCGTTATGGGATTAAATTTACAAAGCGGCAAGCAAAACGACAAACAAAATGAAATGAAAGAAACACTCGAATAAACTCGCAAGAAATTTCTTATCGCCAAGGGGGCCAATGTTCCAAGGTTCTTTCGCCTGAGACCTTTGAGCTTCCTGTGGAAAAGGAGATTATAATGTACAAATAATGTTGGAATAACCAGTTAAACGCCATGGAATATCGACCGAGTCTTGCTAATTAGCAAGGACATCTGTTCACATCTTACCGGGCAGCATTAGATCCTTTTTATAACTCTAATACTGTCAGGTAAAGATGTCGTCCGTGTCCTTAACCTTCAGTACCTTAAAAAAAAAAAAAAAAATCCAAACAAATCATAAAAGTCTCTGGAAAAACAAGTTTTTCAATTGTGCGTCGCGGCAAGGAGCTGGAGTAAAAAATGAGTGGATAATGCGGAGACAAGCGGCAGAAAATTGGTCATAAATTCTTATTTTTTGCAGCGACACAACGACGCGTTTTGGGATGACATCAGTTGAAAAAAAAAAGTACAAAAAAAGTAAAAAAAAAATAAAAATAAAAGCCGAGGCGAGGCGAGATCGTTCCCAATTCCCATTATTTTACCATTCCCGGACCCCGGCGGAGTCTGCAGGTAACCCACTTTATACCATATACCCTATACCATATACTGCATACTGTATACTACTGTATAACGCACACTATATAGAGAAAGACTGAAAGATCGTATAAAAAATATATTTTATGGTTCCGCTCACTTCGGAGGCTGCTCGCTGGTTTCTTAATTCCATCGCGGCAGCAGCGTTTAGTGACAAAAATCGTCTTCTTTTATGATGCCCCCTACCCTGGCCAACAACTCTATAGCCACAAATTTACGATTATAGTCAACTAGCCAAGGCAGCAGGTTGCTTGAGTTTCATTTCGGTTCGCTTGGTTTCGTTACTCGTCTTTGCCCCGCCCCAAATGCTCATAATTCGAAATTAGAGAAATGTGAAATATGAAACCACGGCCAAAGCTGGCCGTAATCAAACAATTAAATGGTTATAAATCGCCGAAACGTGATCGTGGAAAACGCAGCAGCTCAGTTAATTTGATTTATACGAGGAGGACATGTGCTTGCGGTTGCAGTAATTGGGCGGAACTTGAAGTTTTATTCAAGGAAATTATCGCACCTGTTGGACATTACCTGAAAGATGTTAGTGAGGAGGCTGGTTTCGAGTAGGAAGTTGAGCATATAATTTACCCAAGCAAGGCAATTATTGTCTGGTTTAATATGATTGTCTTAATTAGTGCACGTTCACCGTACAGGTTTCTAATATTTCAAATCTTTCCAATCGTAACTATTTCAATGCACTCGATACGGTGATATGTGTCACTAGACTAATTCCAAACTGACACCCGATCAGATAGACCTTCTTATCTGCCCAAAATCTATTATTCCATTTAAGTTTAATTTTCTTTTCGTCACCCACTCAGTTCCTCGCATTCAAAGTTATTGATAAGACTCTGCCCAGACTAGATAAGCACTTGGAAGCTGATCCCGACCAGAGATTGTGCGTGGCGCTTTCGAATCCATCTTTATCTCGCGCTTTTCGTGACAACATCAATCCGTTGAGTCGAGTCTGTAATGACATACAAAACAAATACGAATTCCAGCGAGTGCCACCTGGCAAACAACCGACTTAACTGTCAAGAGTGTCCAGAGTTACTGGCATACCTATATTTATACGAATATATGGCTGCGATATGTATGTGGCTGAGCCCACATCCGAGAGAGACTCTGTTTATATAGCGACCCACCGACAACGGATAGATATATGACGCCAGCCCCAAGACTTGAGTATGTGCTGAAGGAATAGGGATCGTAAAAGCGTTTACAGGGCTTTTAAATTTTACAGTTTCTTGCCCCAGTGGGCAAAGTTTTAGTTACTCGTTTTTGGGCCGGTGGGGTGGCGGGGGTTAATCTAATCAGGAAAACAGAAAAAATGCGTTAGTCTCGGTCTAGCCTGGTCGAAACGATCCCCGTAAGGCGGAACGACCAACGTAACCAGAACGAATATAACACCTGTTAATGAACTTAGCAGTGACTCTAATTAAATGTGTACACCTTCGGCTTGGGCTCCCAATACCCTTCCTCCGCTGGCTTTTGCATGCTCTTGGTTGGGTCGTAAACGTAAACCCATTCTGACTCTTTCAATAAAAGACGGCATAAATCAATTAAATCCACGGGATACGAAACCACCCCGCCCAGACAAAGCCCCTTGAATAATGCATAACTAGTTGATCCGCTGCATTTAATTCCCAGTAATATATTCCGGATTAGTGTTCGTAGTAAGCTGTTTTAAAATCCCAGTGAGTGTAAATGTGTCTCACAGCATTTCCCTATGTATTTCTATGATTACGATGAAGAAGATAACTCCATATCACATTCAAATGGTCAAATAAACTCAACACGAAACTGCAGAGTCAGCAATCGTGTGACAATTTCACAACCAACAACTAATTGCGGCCAAGCGGGTGTGTGTTGGCCAATCTACAATTTAAATCGGCCAATAGAGGGTCCAGTTTGATAGGGAAACACTCCACAACCGCCGATGGCGCGAGTGGTAATCAGAATAGTGGCGAGAGCACTTGATATCCACATGGCTATGCACGATGATAATGTCGCGTTTACACCATCTACCCAGAACACCCCCTACTTGAGCGAAACAAAAAACAATAACGATCGATAGAAACACTCACATAGCCACACCATTTCAGGGGGCCAAGCTAGACAATCGATTCTGTCAGTGGCCAGCGGCTGAAATGTGGAAATTAATTTCATATGAGCGCGCATATCTCACCTCCGACATCTGATTTGTGTTGGCCAGGTGTGCGTTTGTAGAATAAGATACTTCAACTGTGTGCTGTCATCTGGGCTTGGCACACAGAGATTTCGTTACTAATTATTTGTAACTGATTGGAAAACTAATCAACGCTGACCAATAAAAGTCGACCGGTCTGGGATGGGGTTTTGAATTTTCCCTCTTACCAGTTTACTGAAAATCTAATCAGCCTAAGTCCATAAAAGACCAAAGACCCAAAAGACCGGTGGGAAAGAGGGCCGTCGTAAGATTTCTATTCGCACTTTCAGTTGCCTAGAAACTCGGAGGAAGAAAAGCCCTCATCGCCATCGTATATGAGTACTTTATAGAGTGCATGGAGAGCTACAATATCTAATCAAACCGCAAGGCGAGTGTATCTAATCAAGTGCGTGAGGAGAGTATCTAATCGCGCAGGGGCAGGAGATACTATAAGTGGACAGTCGACAGCATTATATTTCTTAACGTAATCCCTTACGTTTTTCGCTAAAAATTTAAACTAAAATTCGTTGTAAAAATTCTTCGTCATCATCGTTGGTACTAACGAGTGCACACTGAAAAACTACTATTAAGTGTAACTTTAAATAGTGACTACAATCTAAAAATAAACGCACTATCGCTTTCTATGTCTGACTTTCAGTCTTATTTTCCACAGTAACTATGGAGTGGGGGGAGGAAAGATTGTGTCTGGCCACTGGAAGTGAGCTGAAATCAAAATATTGAGCATGATTTATAAATAACAGGCTGTAATAATATAACAACATAATACGCCTTGACATGATAATGAAGGCGAGACCAATGGGAAAAAGAAATGCGGCAATGAACTGCAGCGATAAAGGAGCTGTAGGGTTAGGGAGGCGGGGACACCGAATGGGCGTAAATCAATTAACAGCTAACAAAGCAATCAAGCTGTATTAATAAAATCGAAGGAACTGGGGGTTTTTGAAGAAGTATCACAAAAGGCTTATGCGAAGTCATGCCATGTCACTCATTTAATTGATTGTGTCACAGTCGAGGGGAACTGCCGAAATGCATCAGATTGGACAGTATTATTTCACACTCATTCAGTTTGGATGTCCCCTAATGAACTTACCATGTTGCATACCCAAAGATTGGTAACTGGAGCTCTTTCGATTCCGGATTTTTCCTCATTTCTGTGCATTAATTAGTCGTACACTAATTTCCAATTCCGATTTCAGTCATGCAAATGTTAATTGACCACTTAAGTTAAAACTTCATAATGATCGTTAATAATACCGATGCGGCACATCTGGAGAGGATGCCGTGGCAACGACAACTATGGCCAAAAGAACAGGTTCAAAACCCTAACTAGCCGGGTCCAAAGCTCGTAAAAGATATGCAACCAATACACACAAGCCTTACCTTTGCCACTCGCCTCACTATGCGATCTTGTGAAACCCGAGCTCCTCTGGAGCCCCGGGCTGTTAACTGTGCATTAATGATCTTCTCAGCCAGCTCATTTATATACTTTAGGCAGCGACACGTCGGAGTCTCTGGGCTTAAATAATTTGTAACTGCGGTGTAAGAAATAGCACAGGTTGGCAAAGATAGGATCGTATGTGGCAGCCTAGAAACTGAGTAGGTTTTGGGATCTTACTCTGCTGTAAGTTTGTGCATATCCAATTACCCGCTGTTCTAGTAAAGTAAACTTGTTCATATTTAATTACGAAATGGAGAAGTATCTACATATTTGCAAAATTTGATTAGCTTCTTAGCACATCTTAAACACATTTCAACAGCGTATGTGATTAAAGAACTATTAGGTTGGCATTTCATAAACGTAATCACTTGTATTTTAAGCTTGCACCCATTTTGTTTAGAAAATACAATTGAATTCCCAGCACTTATCTAAATTGATCAGGCCAGCAGCCGAGGGAAGTGGAACTCGAAGTGCAAGCTCATGGCTCATAATCAAGGGCAATGAAGGCGATTTCCTGCTGCCCCAACCTGATTGCACTGATTGCCCGAAAGGAGGAGAGCTCCGGACTGGTGACTCGTGCCGCCGAAACAATGCCGCAAGGAAAAGGTCTCCCAGTTTCAAGTTCCCAGTTTTTCCAAAGCTAGCGCAACTAACTCAGCGCCTCTTGGCCACAGGTAATTGAACGCTGCTCCCATTCTACCAACTCCACCTGAGCTACTGTGTATCCCTGTGCCAGGGCAATGCACTGGGAGAAAAGCGATGCCCTTGCAACAGCATTTTACGTATTTACATTTGTATTACTATTTACGGTCCACTTCATTTAAAATGTTATACATTTCAGATTCAGTATATAATAAAATGTTGTTTTAAAACGCTGAAAACCACAACATTTGTGAAATACTTTACTGTGTGGCATGGCAGTAAACAGTGGGGCTTGAACTGGAAGGGGCATGTTCATCGGTTGGCTGATTCAGCATCGTTGGGGTGCATCAAATTAGCATTGTTCCCAGAGCCACTGAGCTTCTAAGTCTGGCAGGAAACTCTAGGGAAGTTCCAATCACACTGGCGACTGCTGAAATAGTATAGGATCAGAAACGTAGGACTTCAAAATCACCTGTTACAACCAATGACTTCACGGTGTAAAATTCTTTTGAAACACACTAATCCGAACACAAGAAGGCACCGAGTTCAAGCTTCAAATTCCATTATTGTGGAAAAATATATTTTCTACGAAGTCGAGCATTAATAACCCGGCTCGCAATTTGCATTCGTTATCCAATACTTGAGATATATTTATGGATTGGGGCCAAACAAGCGCCATCTGGCGGTGCTAATCGGCCCCGTCCATTCAGTCCGGTAATTGAAAAATAAAGTTCACTTTTTCAGCTCGTTCTCCGCTCTGCCTCCAATCTTTGGTCGTATCTCCCGAACGAATGGCATAATTAGCCTAAACGTGGTTAAACCAATTATTATCTCGGCCTGACACAAGCTGATGGCTACGGGCACTCCGGCGAAATATGTCCCCTACTTTTCCCGATTCGCTGCCCAGCTCACTGAGCAATTAACTGCGGGGAAACGATCTGGAGGCTGGTCCCGGCATGGTCATGAATATGCATGGACAACTGCTTTATAAGTGAACTCTACGCCCCTCAGTATATGGTATATGGGCATATATCATCTGGCCATATGTACATACGTACATACATTGTAAACATATACCAAACGACTTTTGTTAAGCTGCAAACTCAGACGCCCAACCGCCATCAACTACGTATTCGTTTAACACGTACAAAATTATATAAATTTGCATAGAAATTGCAATGAACCTTAACTCGAATGTGGAAGAACGTCTAAGCAACAGGTTGATGGTAACACTGATCAGCCAGCAAGTGGGCGCTGAAAACTCTTTGTCTAGAACTAATTGAAAATGATGGCTTACAATTATAAAACCCAGATTACACCAAAAACACTGGACAATAATTCCATTAGGAGAAAATGTGGCTAGGAAACGAGTTTTAAGATAGCTAAAATGATTAAATTCAACTTTGCAGTCTAGTGTAACCATTAAGTAGTAGTCGCCCAAGCAGTTGTTGTAATTATTAGCATGCCATTTGCTGTTGGCAACAGCAGACTTTTGAACCCGCTGACTTTTAACGAATACAGAGCCGCAGCGTAAGTGTGTTTTAAATGGAAAATAAAACGAGAAAATAAAGAGAGAAATTATACAAATTTCTGTTCGTTTACTCCAGCCTGCTACTGTTGGCCAGTAGTAGTAGTGTATGCATTTCGGCCAAAATGTTTGTCTTATTGTACTTATTCGCCTGTTATTTATAGTGCAGAATTCTGTAGCAAGTTTGCCGCCACCGAGGAGTCCAAGTCAAGACCAAGTTGTTTGGGACATTCGAAGTCGCAGTGCGGGCAGCAGAGCAACAGAGTTATTAATGCTTGGAATTTTCATAATCGAAACGAGTTTTCAAGCGGCAGTCGGCAGTCAGGCAGTCAGGCAAGGAAGCACGCGCGTCTTGGCCAGACTAGCAACCTGGCTCTTGGCCGCCTTAATAACAAACGCCCCTCCCCTCGCAGCCGCTTCGAAAATCAAGGAGTGGAGTGGAGTGCAGGGGAGGGCAGGTCGCAGAGTTATGGCCATGGCAAGACAAGCACACGCTTTGCGCGAACAGGTGAAGCGTTTAACGGTGGGACTGGGATACTTTGGCTTTGGATCAGGATTTTACTCTTGCGCAGCACGGAGAAAAACAACGAATACTGCTATTTTACTGCTTTCTACATACAAATCTCTTTTCTTACGATTTTAGGTTTGAGAAAGGAAGAACTATTTTTTCTGTGTGTGGAACTCCAACTCCCCAAGCGCGACTCCAATTGGCCTGAGTGCCCCCTGGTTGGACTTTGTGCACATGGCTAGCTGATGTTGCACAGCAAAAGTTATGATCGGATCACTAATTTGTTGAATTTGACAGAGCGAGGTATTATTTTCGGATAGTTTCTTATTTGAGCAGATAGACAAACATAAGTACCATAGAAAAACACTCAGCTTGAGCATTAGCATTTGATACTTGACTTGCATGTTTATTACTAAAGCTAATAACTAAGAACAATATACATTTATCGTTAGCTTAATGGCAATGCATTGCCATTGCTAGTCCTTCTGCAGGACCTGTTTTTGGGAAGAACTTTGGGTACTGGAATGGCTGATAGCTTAAAAAGCTGGACGCCAAGATCCGGTCCAGAAATAGCAATGACTTATGCAAATGCTGGGCAATCGCTTTCCATCGGGACCATTGCATGCCAACCGCATAACCACTGGTGCCAAGTGGCCAGTGGCTTTGCAGGTAGCCGAATGCAGAATGAATGAACAACCTATGGTGAGGGTAAAGCCAAGGCTGTAATTTGCTTAAAAGCAGCGAACAAATAAAGGGTTTCAATGGATGCCCCCGACCCAGAGACACGCGGGGATAATGAATGGCAGTAGGAGACGGTGGAGGGATCTGGTTCTGGTACTCGATCTGCGAGGGTTCTTGGCTGTCTTCTTATGAGTCGGACGACAGCTGCCTGCCTGGACACAGACAGTTCATGTCAGTCTAGGACGAGGATCATCATAAATGGATTTAATTAGGGGCACATGGTGGGGAGTAGTGCGAGGTACCCGTTTGTGTATTCCGTTCTTAAATATTTATAGTCTTAATACGAGTATAGTAAAACCATAATCAATCTCCCTTTGCCGCAAATCACCTAAAATTGATTCCGTATAAAACCACAACTTCAAATAATTAATTATTCACTTAAATGATGTATACCCATATAGTGGGGACTGTATTAAAAGTAGAGTGAATAAGTTATTAAGTGAGGCCATGACTAAAACTTTGATCCATATAGACCTCTAAAGATCTTAAAGATAATTCCCTTCAATTCACTATAATATTAATTTTATAAATTATATTTCCCTCAAGAAAGGAGTTCTCTTTTCTACCAATTCTGGTCTATGAATTTGCATTTTATACCGATTTTTTGGGTTGTTCCTCGTTTTTATGACGATTGCCGCAGACGCTGCAGACGGTTGCAGAGATTTCCCAAGGTCCGAAAATAAAAAAGCGATAACAGTTTCCGCAGAAATTGGAAATCAATTGGGACCCACAGCGGCGCCCGAGCAACTCAGATCAGAAATCCATTTAAATGTCGAGTGCTGCAAGAAATCAAGGGGCACGGGCACTCACTCCATCGCCTCAAATTGAAGGGTGGGGGCTTTGCTGATAAATGCCCAAGGGCTGCCAAGCGCGACGTCGATAAAACAAATGAAGAAAAACCCAAGCGGCGCTACGCTGGGCAAGTGGAAAAGCAGGGTGGACGAGCAAGAGCAAGAGCAAGAGGTTGGTAATTTCGTTTGGCTTATCGCAAATACGCGGCGAATGAGCCAGGAATTTATTCATAAGCATAAATATTCCAGGGTCCCGGCAACAGGTCCGCCAGTCGAGTCGAGTTCACTCGAACTCCAGTTCACGCAACAGAATTGCACCGGGCAACCAGAAGAGCTGGCACTGAAGATTATTTAAGTATTTATTAAATTGCTGCTCTCCCAAGTGGCCGGCAGACCAATGGCTGACTGGCTGGCTGGCTGGCTGGTTGGTTGGCCAATCTGCACGATAATCATGGGGTGTGAAAAATTTATGGGAGCCGCCGCTGCGCACGCGCAAAAATGGAAAGCCCAGTCGAAAAGCAGAAGAAGCTAGCTCAAGCGCCGCAGAATCTGACAGCACCATGAATATATATGAATCTGCATAGGGGTGGGATTATTTCATGTTCACAACACAAGGGAGCAGAGAGTTGCTCGACTATCAGATACCCGTTAACCTGATAATGGCTGTTTACGAGACTGCACGCAAACATTTTCCAAAGGTGTGGGTGGCGTTGTCTTAAATCATAACTATCTTATATTGTTATATTCCTTATATGTCGTTAAGAAATGCTAAAATGTAACTAAATGAAACCAGTGTTATTTTATAACAACTGGAATAAAGCAAATAAAAGCAATTGCAAGCTAGACAAAAAGAAGTTTCCAAAATGAAACTGAGCCACCCTAATGAATCTGCACACCTGTCAAAACTATAGAAGCCCTCAGAACTTTTGATTTCTTTTTTAGCGGATCGATGGGTGGAACACTTGAGCCATCAAACAGGCTAAGTGGCCCAGCTCCGCTATTCTTTTCGCCAGGCTGAGCAGATTTATGGCCTGTTAAAACGTCTGCCGCCAAGTGTCAGGCAATTGGTTAAAAGCTACAAGCGCCCAAGATGCAACACGACCGATAACAAAAGCCGAAACAAACCGGCTAAAGGGGAATAAAAGCTGCATGAGGAACGCGCCACATGTCCAAAAAAGGATCCGCAAGGAGTCGTTTCGGAGTTCATAAATAAAAGATGGCAAAAGCCACGAAAAGGGCTTAAACAATGGACCACAAGGCCTTTCGAATCGATATCCCAGAGATGAAACCAAAAACATCCGCAGGTCGAAACCCAAATATTCAGACGTGACTTATTTACGACAAATTGTTTGATTTACGTTTCGCAATAAAACCCATAATTGGAATGGGTTGAACGCAGAAAGGATGAACAGGTTGATTTACCAAAGGAGCAGCATAAATATTAAAAAAGGGAAAATTATAAGTAAATAAGAAATACAAGTAACTACAGATCAATTTTATTGCCTTGTATGATTTTATCTATTTACTTGATTATTATTTATTTAATTACTTATGTGTAGATCTACCCGAAACATCTGTCGCATTCTGAGAGATTTTCTCACGCAGCAATGAAGTTCTATCCCCAACCAAAAAACCCATCGGAGTCCTCTCATATACACAGAGTCGATAACTGGATGCGATGAGGAGGGGTTAAAGTAACTTGACACCTTCGAGACGTCGCCTAGAACCAGTGTATAGGTGGAAGATTAGGCTCTGGAAAGAAGAACATGAGGCAGGACACGCATGATTTAGGAGGAGGGAACCAATTGGAGAATCGGATGAAAGAAGAGCATTGGCCCGCAACGAAGTCGATATACTATCATCGATGATCGGGGGACTGGTCCTGTGGCATTACTTATTTACGAGTCGCTTGGTAAGTCCCAACATTCTACTTCTGGCTATTTGAATATATAATTCCGTGACACTCGTGCGGGCCTCCTTCAAGCCAACAACATAGAGAATGCTATTACTCGACTAACAGATACCCGTGTTTCAGCGGGGGAACAGACTTAACATGTCTAGGATCGGCACGGCTAGTAAATAGAATCAAGAATAAATTTGCGCTATAAAGTCGGACACTCATTTTTCTACCTGTTACATACTTTTGTAGGAATCTAGTATACCCTTTAGTCTACGAGTAACGCGCATAAATACCCCCAACTCCTGCTAAGATATTCGTTTTTGGCTGCTCCGGGCATAATTAAAATTTATGGCCACTGCGCTTCGAGTCAATTCATTAGTTGCCCTCTAGACGGAGCCTAATTAAAAAGTTTCATAAATTCGAAAAACTCCAACCACCTGTCGATCGTCTATTAAGCGTTAGTGTGTGTGACCAATTCTTTGAACTATAAAGTGTTTTGAGTAGGGTCAAAGTTGATCAAGCCGGCCAAATTGCAGGTCGAATGGGGTTAATGGTTTATAGATACACAGAGATTAGCGTTAGTGTAAGCTAAGTGAAAACTCTAGCAGCGAGTGATTAGGGTGGATGGATCAAGTTTCATGCTAGATTACAATTAAATTGAACGATGATTTTCGTTTTTACCAGGGTAAACTTATTATATCACTAATAAGATTCAATATTTTGATGTATTTCAGATAATAACAAAACAAAACAAAAAAAAAACACTTCTTAGAAACAGGATCAAAGAGAGAACTGGTTATTTATTAGCCATCCTCAAAATCCTGTTTCCCCTCACCCAAACACGATGCCCATTCGTTATTGGATTTTAATGAGGAATATACAAATTATGATGGGATAGCCGGCGAAAGAAGCCAAGAAAAGAAGCGGAGACAGGGCGAGGAATGTCAAGTGGCAAGTGCAACATGCCCCCCAAACATACCCCTCCACGATGCCGTGGTCATTAGCATGCGAAAGGCAACCACGAAAGGCAGCCAGATCCACCGAGGAGACACCACTAACCACCAGCCACCAGCCACCACCAACCAGTTGACAGTTGTCAAATCCACTTACGCTCTTCATGGTAAACAGTTTCTGACGAGCCTGCTGAAGGATTTATTTAAGTGCAGACAGACTAACAGACTAATAAGTGCGGCACGGCGGCTCCCCCTGCAAACATATTCATATAGTATACATATGTGTAGTACATATGACGACAGTCACGGAGGGGGAGGGGCTGCTTTTACTACCTGTTTTTACCTGCTCTTTTCTCAGCCCGAGCTTTATTTCAATTTTTAACGGACAGCGCCTGACTGGGAAAGTCTCCGTTTGATTTCTATTTAATGCCACGAACGGGAAATTAAACTTCGGCTTTAACAGCTTTGCTGGACTGCCGAAACATAATTTGGCATTTTAACTAAATTCAAAAGGAAATTACTTTTGAGCAGCCCAGCAAAGCGGGCGCGCGAAATGATAGAAAAACTATTGGGCTTTCCTGGGAATTCCAGTTTTTATTTCGTTACTTCATTTTCCATTTCAGATTTGAGGTAGTTAGTACTGTATGCATAGTCTAAAACATTTACATTTGGCTCATCCTTTCACTAGATATTGTTAACACGTAATATAGCTATACTTGACAATCAATCACTCATTTTTCGAGTAGTTGATGTCTGCAATCTGCATTTCGTGTACATTTTTAAGGGTACTCATGTTTATTATTTCTTTTTTCAGCAGATCAGCCTTTGTTGGAAGATGCCACTGCGAGAAGCCATAAAACTGATCCGACATTTAATATATTCTTATTAACTATTCAGAATAACATTAATTCATTACACTGAACACTAGTTTGCAAAGAAGAACACTCAGGTTACCTCTGAATTAGAATTATTGATTTTTAATCCAGATTGGGTGCCTAACTAAGAACTTTACTGACATTTTAATAAAATTATAGTTTTCTTAGACAGCATATGCAAAAATGGTTAAATTGCAAGCTAGTGTATTATTGTAAAGATGAGCAAAAGAATATCAGTTAGCCGAACAGCATATACTCTGGCTTAAAACATTCGAATTTAACAATTCGTAGGTAATTAAGATAAACTCTGCACTTGGCCCTTATGAATGAGTGCATTTCTCTCCAATGTGTTTTATATTCAAAAATAGGTGCTTTGCCGTGAATAGGAAGTCAAGTCAGCTCTGCATGATGGAGGAAACACGCTCGACAAATAGAGATAACTTCATGAAGTTGGGGAAGAAAGCTGGAAGAGCAGGTTGATCGAACAGGTTCATTCGCAGTGGAGTTGAGTCTATGAAACAGTGGAGGACAGGTCCCAAACCAACTGTTTCAATAGCGATTAAACAAATGAGTTGGCTCCTTCGTTTGTTCGGTTCCAGATGTTTTCGGGTGGCTTGTCGATCGGCAGCGGGTTAAATGGATTGTAGTTGGTACCCTGTCTCAGGGTCTAGCGTAATATTTGCTAGCAAACAAAAAGGCGAACAGAACAATCGAAATACTTGAAGGCTCCCCAAAAAAAAAGAAAGAAAACCTAAACTCGTGACTTAACAAGGCCAAGAAGCTAAAATGGAGGGGAATGACGATGGATTTGTATGGATGATGAATGGCGAGAGCAGCAATTGTGCAACCATTTCCACACCATCAGCGGGAAATCCATCAGGTTGGATTAGAATAGTATTTCTACCATGACAAAAATTTGCCACCCTTTTACAGCGCAAAAAGGAATAAATAACAGTTCTTTTACAGATAATGAACATGAGGACTAAGTTTGAAGGATATTTTAAATGAAATAAAGATTACAACTTGTTATGAGAATATTTGGTTTACATGGTATTTTGAAAAAGATATATTCAAAATTTTCTAGTAATATATTATGCCAAGCTTATCAATGTTTTGGAAATTTTGAAATTTTTTCTGTGTGTACTCAGAAATGTTCAATACGATCACCTCCTGTTTGCCATTTGACAATTGATGGGCCGCACATTTGTCTTTCACTTGTCGCCTTGCCGTCTTGTCTTGCACCTTCACCAGCCATCTCTTTCATTGTGCGACTACCCATCTCTCTCTGCAGCTCGATTTCTTTCCCTTTCTCGCGGGATCTTTTGAAGTGAACCCGTTTTGACAAATGTGTGTCATTGCTGGGCCATCAAAAGACACGATCGTTGGAGTCTTTTGCTCTCCGAATTCGATTTTGTTTGGCAAGGTAAGGTGTATTTTTGGGCTATTAATGCTGCCGCAAACGGTAAAACCGAATCAAGTGACTGGCAATCTGAAGATGATCGTCATCATCGTCGAGATCAACAAAAAGCATTCGATGCCGCAGAAACTTTCAATGAATGGAAATTCATTGAGTGTGAGTGGTTTTCAGTACAAAAGGTCTTTGCAATCCACTTCGATTTATTTTAAAGTTTTTTTTTTCTAAATTAGTGCATACGGGAATTTGTAAAAATGGCTTTGATCTGCTTTATCCAAGACTCGCTGACAGTTTCTCTTTTGGTCAATTGATCCACATTTCCGCGTAAATTCCTAAGAATTCTTTGGGACACTTCTTGGTGACACATTTGTCATTTCGTCTATTGAAGCCATTACATGGTAAATGATTCCAATAAACAGACCAGGACAATCCGGTGCATCACACTTTGGACACCAAAAAGCGACAGCCAAGAAGCTCCGAATGTGTGCGTGGGGATATTTAACAGCTCCCATTGTGGCGACAGCGATGAAATTCGAAAATAATGCCATCACATTTTGAAATTCTTTTCCAAAAAACATCCACGAAGGAACCATGGCGGCGACAAAGATATCTTATTTATACTCAATGGCCAGTGGGGCGATGTTACTTTAGCAAAGCACTTGCAATGAAATCAATCAATCAGATCAAATATGATTGCTGTATAGATGAATTTATGAATGCAAAAATATAGTATTATTTATAAAGCAAGTTAGCACTCGTTCTGTAAGGCAGGGTATTGCTCATTCGACTGGATGGCTAATGGCTCGAAATTAGGAGGAGAATTGCCCAACATTCGGTTTTGCATTATTTCAGAAGCCATCAGCGGCGACACGGCGGCCGAAAAGCTCGCCACAATTTTCATTTAATTTTCTCCTTCAGCCGGGGAGCCATTCTCCGGACCACAGCCCCCCGTAGAACATCAGCCCCACCCCATCCCCGACTTTCCGAAGAAGTTGCGTAGGTGTCCGGGGTGCTCGTCCGGGTGTGTCAACTGCTGCTGAAAGATTTTCGTGTCGTCGTTTCCATTCCGCCTGCCCACAGACGACAGACACGAATTCTTTCGACAAGAAAACACATTTCAAAACTTTTCCCCGTGCCTCAAACATTTCTTTTTTTCGTTTTTTTTCATTTATTTCTTTTTTTTCATTTTTTTCGTTGATGTTTTCTTGACGGTGTCGCAGTGCGTAAGTAAAAAAGATTTAGCAATAGCAATGAATTTAGTTAATTTATGGCATTATTAATAACATCAAGAAGAAAAGGAATATAAAGCGAAGAACTCACAAAAATATTTTAGAAAATATACAGAACTCTCACAAATTACGAATGGTACATACGCTAAGTTATAACAATTTAAATGTTAATCCGAAAACAATCCTGTAACTGAAAACTAATATGTATGGAAATATAGGTGAAATAAATAGATTTAAGAAATATTTAGCTCGCATACCCTTTAGAAAGTGTATTACTGGCAAACCATGCACTGGTCATATGACCATTTAACAAATGGTAACCTATGATACATTTTCGTTTGTGTGACAATTTGGCTTAGCAGAGGGATCTAATTAGACTACATTCATTTCAGAGTCATCACGCAATTTCAAAGATCTCGTCCGAACAATGGAGAAATTCAGTGGGTCAGCTTAGTTATGCGGAGATTATTGAATGATAGCTAGGCCAAAGCCATAAATACTCGGGCCAGTGTGGTATCGATGTTTGTGAATGGCACGAGCTCAACATCAACCTGCATAAAATGCAAATAAGCCCGACAAAAGACGCGCCAGAAACCCCCAAAACCAAACAAATTTACGACCTAATCAATAGACTTCGAAAAGCTGTTTTCGGCCTTTGTTTCCCCTTTTTTCGGTTTGTTTGAGCCTCACTAACTTAACTTTGAGAGGTTTCTGGTTTTCTACGACCAAAGGTGTTCCACTTGCCCCAAACGAAATTTACATTAATTTGTGAGCAAAGTATGGCATATTATGCAAATATTTAACAGGCTCCAGCCTCTGGCATTTCCCTTAGCAACTGAATGAGAACTGTTTTCGGAGATACTTTCAAACATTCGTAAACTTGTTTCATTAAATTCCTTCTAATACCCTGTACTTGCTTTAGTGTTAAACGCCAAACGCCACTAGTCCGCATCTGTCCGAATGATTTTTCAACGAAACGATAACCTGGCTGACTCGCTTTCGAAATCAGGCACCTAATCAGTGTTATTTAGCAATGACTTAGCAGACATTCAAATTTAAATAGTCCCAAGTCGAATCGTCAAAACAGGCGCATTCCTTGAGTGCTACTTTGAACCCGAAGGAGATAAGTAATTTCGCTGATTCGGAACTATTGAAAGTGCTAAATAGATCAGATCATTCCCTAGGAATTTGGGTTGCGTCAAAAAAGCATGAATGAATAGCTAATGCCATGCATATACAGAAAATTCCCCAAAGACTTCAAGGCGAAATCTAATTTTAGCCAAAGGTTTATTCTTTTTCGATGTCAATTTATTATTAAAATTTATGACGATATTAACACGAATTTCGGCATAATACTTTTACGCATTTGACGTTTTTATAGGCCACCCCCTTAACACCTTTCCCGACCTAAATTTTCACCCGAGAGAAGACAACTAAAAAAGATTTGTACCAATTCTTATGCGAAGAAGCGTTTGAAAATTAAGTCTCTTTGCCGCGTTATTTATTGCATAATTATAGGAAAACTGGCGACACAACAAAGTAAAAAGATTATCGCACATTTTGACCCCAGAAATAAAATATATTTCTTCTTGAAATTGTATTTTGTTGGCTTCTAGAAAAGAAGCCTTGACGAGCCCAGCATCCCGTCCAACAAAAACCAGTGCTCATAAGCAGATGAAAAATGCCATAAACATAGATATCCATATGTATTAAGTGGAAACGTGTAATTTGCATAAAATCGCCTGATTGAACGTTAAATATTTTTTAAGATTCAGATTATGGAGTCGAGAAATGCTCATAAAGATCACCATTCAACGGCTCTAAGAAAAAAGGGGCACAATAAAATTGGAGGCACACACCGTGGAAAAAAAAACGAGGAACATTCCCAAATCATCAACTATAAACTAAACCATTTTGTAATATATTTCTTTAAGTGTCACCAACGACATCAAACTGAAGAAGAGAGATAACCCAACTTTAGAGCACCTTACTCGTAGATATACAACAAACAGAATATTTGCATAAATTACCCAAAAAGTTTTTTGAAGCTGTTTTACATTTTTAATGAACAACAATAAAATAGTCTTAGGCATATTGAAATGATTAGTTTGATGATATTTGTTTTTTTTTCGAGGAATGTCCTAAGTTGTTGGAGCTAAAAAATTTTATGACAAACTTAAATGAAGGAAGGTAACAACTTTTTAATAAATTAAAACACCTGTTGAATTGCATTGAATTTGGGATTCAATTTAAAAGTTATATTGGCATTTCATTTCAATTGTGCGATTTTTTAATTTATTATTCTAAAAGTTTAGTTAAATAGAAGGTTAATCATTATAAAAAGTTGAGCCCTAATTATAAAGGATATAACATTTGTGTATAAACAATAAAATATAATTATTCATTTTTAATGTAAGCCATTTTCTTTTTGGGATTGAAAAAATGGGAACTTTAGTTCTGTGAAAAGGAAACGATGAATGCTGCCACCAAGAAGCGCCCGAAGATAGCCGCCATCTCATTAGACCCTCTACTTCTAGTTTATTTTAAACAGGGTTTGATTGCTTATTGTTAACAGCAAATGTACGCAAATTGAAAAAGCAACGGCCATCTTCCAATTGCGAAATCGAGTTGGCAGGGCAGTCGATAACATGGCGATTGACTGGCAAATATCGGCATCAGAAGCTGACGAAACATATCGCCAATCGATTCATCGATTGCAAAGCCACAGCCAGCTGGTCTCCCTTCGCCTCTAATTTTTGTTTTGATTGGTGAATTTTGGCAGGGATTAGCATGGACGATCCTCTCAAGCCCAAGCCAGTTCCACTGGCTGCCGAGACGGTTCTGTGGTTCGAATTCCTGCTCGATCCGCACAAGATTACGCAGCATCTGCAGCGCCCGCATCCCGGTATGTTTGATTCACTTGTGGAATCCGGCCGACAATTTGAGATTACAATGCATACCCACCATTTACAGAGCCCAGCGCCATGGAGCTGATCATGCAGTTCATCAGCATGACGCCGGACACGGCGATGGCATCGGTAGTGACTCCTGGCAGTGATTTGCAGAACCTTAACCAGACGCCCCCAAACTCGGGACCCATACCCGGCGTGGTTGGTGGTGCTGCTGCGCCGACAACACCCACTGCATCCGGCGGAGTGGGCATGCCCCATAGTCCACAGAGGCCCGCAGAGATGGGCCTGCAATTGACCCGCAAGCAGTTGGCACTTAAAATCCTCGAGCTGAAGGTGGCCACTTGGCTGAAGTGGGACCTGGATGCATTGGAAAAGAACCTGCCTGTGATTATGCAGCTGGCCCTGCTGCGCGATCTGTGCACCATAAGCTATGGCTGCCCGCTGGGTATTCCCCTGCCGAATGATTTTGACCTCAAGATTTGTAGGTTGATCCTTAGCTCCCACTTATACTCCGCTATAACCTATATGAATCCTTTCAGCCACTGCTGGAAACGAAAGAGCAGCAAGATTTGCCTTGACCATATACCACCGCCTGCTGCTGCGAATGCAACTCATCAAGGAGCAGGCGTTAAAGACGCCACGTCCTCAAAATACAATGTAAGATGTGGCTAACCTATCCATACTAACATACTCAAATGAGGCTGAATTATAGGTACCAAACTGTGGACCAGCTTCAGCAGTTTCTGGACGCACCCACTCAACCATCCATCGAGTATTTGCAACAGCTCTGCGCCTCGACAAAACCTTTCTACGTATTCCACTACGACAGCTTTGTCACCCTGCAGTGCGATGATCTGGGCACTGGCCAAAACTATGATCTTATGCACCTAATTACACCCCAGGAACTGAGAGCTCAACTGCACTACGAGCTCGCCCAATATTACCTGTACACCAAGCAATATGTTCTGGCCCGGGAAGCGGCCGCCGCGTGTAATACTAATCTGCAGGCTATCCCGCCACAAACAACTCTATATTTCTGCCACATACGACCGGTAGAACTGGAAGGCCTACTGCAGGCCTGTGGAATCAGCGCCCAGGAGCAAACACTCTTGGAAAAGTTCCAGCAATCGCTACTTAACAACTACACAGACATTGTGTCCATCCTGCGGTTAGACAACACAGCGCGAGAAATCCCTCTAATAAGCCGGCGGCAACTGGAACTGGACATTGAGGGTTCCATCTCCACGGGTATACTCAAGGAAACAGTTCAGCTGCAAATGCAAGTGGCTGCCTTGAATGTGGTGCGCAACATCTTCGAGTGGGGCAGCATCTTTGGCAGCGTGGAGTACTTTGAGAAGTACAGGGAACTGGACTGCCTACCACCGCTGGTGGAGGCTTTGCAGGAAATGCTGCCCCACTGTACATTCAAGGAACAGGCGGCTCTTAAGCATTTCCTTATCGACTGTTTACTTCATCAGGGCGGGCAGTCGCGACAGTTGCTACAAACGGTGCGAGGATTTGGACTGTTCTCGCCAGATGAACTGCAGGATATTGACGAACAGATGCTGCAGGCGACGCCGCCGGTGCCCACCAACTCGTTGGCCTCGCTTTCCGACTGGATGTGTCACTCCAAGAGTAAGAGACTCTTTAATTTATGTACCTACATTCATAAATAATATTTTAATATACCCCTTGTAGTGAGCAGAGTAGACGTGGGAGCTCTGGAGCGACAACTGATTAGCTGCACCAACGCCAACACAGTGAGAATCCTTCTAGTAAAATTATGCGCAACTGCTCCTGGAAAACCTCTGTGGGCCATTAATCCCAGTTGGGACGTTCCGCAGCCCCTGAAAACTCTTATAATGGCCATGCCTGTAAGCTTTTTGCAAGACTTCAGCTATGTCCTTCTCGGTAAGGCGCGAGAATTGGCCACAAGAGGTAACTACATCGATGCCGTTGCTATGCTGAGTGTACTGAAGTCGGAAAATCAGCGCCAAGAGATGGCGGCCAATGTCCAGTTGATGTGTAAGCTGCTCACCTGGGAAATCCTGCACATCCAGATAACACAGTGCCTGGAGGAGTGGCACCAGAAGCCACTAGATCTGCAATCACTGGGAGCAAGATGCAAGCAATGCCTGGGAGCCCTGCAGGCGGGAGATTCAATTATCCCACGGCCGGATATCCTAGAGAGCTGCGCCATCATGCTGCTTAACCTCACCGAGTTTCCGCCTCTCCTTTACCTGGATAAACGAGCGGGTCCCCTGGAACTCCCACTTGCCTTCGCCGCCACCTTTATCGAGATGGAGAAGATGAAGGGTCCCAAGAAGGTCTGCCGCGATGCCTGGGAACTGATGCTGAGCATGTTCCTCAACGTTCCGAAGCGTGGGTCCTCAGGAGTCGGCGGTATTAGTTCCCTGCAGGCCTTCCTACAGCGAGTCCGGCACCAAAGCGTTTTTGGACTCGCCATCTCCATGATAGGCAAAGTCCACAACATTCTTAAGGACGACCCCAACCATGATTTAAGCTGCGAGTACATGCAGCTGTGGCCCACCAGCATTAACAAGTGAGTAGATGGCAGTTTTCTAGTTTGCTTTCAAAATAATATTTTTTAATGCGCATTACAGCCCTATCAGCTACAGTTTGAGAAGCGTATGCGAGACCCTGCAATGGCTTCTGTCCGAGTCTCTGTCGTACTATCCGCAAACCATTTCTTGGCTGAAGATGAAAGGAGATCTAGATCTAGCCATCGGCAATAATGAGTCCGCAATGCGCTGCTATGTGAATGCCCTGGTAACTGGCACGGACTACTGCACCATGCCGCTGCAGAGAAATGTGGCCGACGACTATGTAATCCGCAAGATGATTCGATGTGCCGCCAATTTGGGCTGTCACATGCAGGCCACCGTTCTGTGTCAGTTCCTTGATGAGATCGACTACGGCATTGTGTTCAAGAATCTCAGCGAGAAATCATCTAATTTTACCGATGCAATGGATGCATATTACAGCTGCATTTGGGATACCACTCTACTGGAGTTTATCGTCAATCTGCATGCTAAGCGAGGCGAACACAGTCGGAAACTTGAAGCGGTAGGAATACTTTAGTCTGTGTTAATTCGCGGGTAATCAATAACTCCATATCTCCATATCTCCCTTTTCAAAACAGATTTCTATGATGGGCACTCTGGAGCTGAATGCAAACAACAATGAGGAGATCAAACGAGAATGCGCCATGGTTCGGAAATCAAGATTTCTGCGTGCCCTGGCCAAGCAGTATTTGCTGTAGTCGCAGCCCCCACAGTCCAAACTCTAATTCAAAATCCAATATTCATAATCCAACACCCCAACCTCACCCGCACCCACAAGCAGACCAACTAGCATTAAGCTCAAAGAAGTAGTTTTTATTGTAGGCATAGACTTTAAATACGGTTAGGTTAAAATTAAAGAATTGTACGTTTTTCCAGATGAGACCCGAATCAACTACTTGGGTCGTCTGCCTCGTCCACCGACGCCGCCGCTGGTCTTGGCCTTTTTGTTGTTGGCACTCTTCTTTGCTTCCTCGGCCTTCCGTTTGGCAGCGTTTGTGGCATTCGGAGTGCTGGGCAGGGTCTTAAAGAAGCTATCGAGTCTCACCTGAGTCTGGGCCTGTTTGGATTTCATTAGTTTTTTTGCACCGTTGCGAACGCGCTCTTCGCTGAACTGCCGGTCGCCGCAGAGAAACTTGACAAGACCCTCCTCATCCGGCTCGACCCACTTGAGGTCTATGGATTCGGCATTGGCTACCTCTGGTTCGATAAAGAGTTCCCGCGCCACTTTGTAGTTCCAGTTCTCGGGCACAGTGTACTTGCTGGAGTCCAGGTTATCCAGAATGGTCTCTATATCCCGGTAGTTGTTGATCAGTTCGATAGCTCTCTTGGGTCCAATACCCTTGATGCTCTCACAGTAATCGCAGCCCAGCAGAATGCAGAGGTCAATGAACTCCCGGCTGTTAATGGACAGACCTTCCAACAGCTTGTCGTAGCTAAACTCCTTGACGGGCATCTTCCGCGCCTCGCTGTAGGTAAGATATCTCAACAGTTTTGTAGATCCGAATGTGAGGGCGTCCATATCCTCTGTGGCGGTGGCATAGACCTTTCCTGCTTTAACCAGAGCGGCACACTGGGCCTCCGCTTCACAGGGTGCATCAACATAGGGCACACCCATTAGCGTGAGCAGCTCCTTGGCCTCTTTAGCGTGCTCCTTGGTCACCCGAACCAAACGGCGATTGAACTTTTCAATACCGGCGTCATCTCCCGCATCGGTGGCTGCTTTCAGTGCCTTTTCCGCTTCCTCCCGCCGTTCGGCACGCTTCGCCAACTCACCCGATTTTAGATCTGGGGGCTTTCCGTCGAAGACATATACCGGCTTGATTCCGTTGTCCAGCAATCGGATGGTGCGGTAGAACATGCCCATCAAGTGGGACGTGGGATCGCCATTTACGGTGGCCAACTGGGCACCTTCGGAGCGCACGGCGATGAGAAACTGGTACAGGCACATACTGGCATCGATTGCCACCTTGCGTCCTTTAAAATGAAAGCGTTCAACTTCAGCTGTGTTTATATATAACCATAGCACAGGACTCACCGAAAAAGTGCTTCATCTCACTTTCGCGAATCGCCTGTGGCGCCAGATCCGCAATGAGCTTAGACAAGCCAAGAATTCCCATGGCGGTTGTATGATGCCTTAACACTTGTATTTAATTAAATATGTAGTTATAGTAAAGTAAGGCCACGGGTTTATCAAATTGTTTTGTTTGTGAAAACACGCCGCGCGCTTTTTTTGGCAACAAGTGTGACCGCCTTATCTAATTTTCAAAATACCAGAACAGCATCACAATTTGTATGGTCCTAATTATTATTCGTTTTTTTGTTAGTTTTTTTAAGTTGTTTCAAATATTTTATTAAATTTATTACCCGCAAAATAATTGGTTTTCAGTTCTTAAAAACAAAACATTTTTAATATGAAAGTGTTTCTTTTGAATATTTTCAGTTTCGTTTACAAATATTTGTGGTCAGACCAGTGGGACTAGAATATGATTGCCGGTGAGCAAAATATACTTAAATTAGATGGCTTAGGTTAATAGCGCTGAATTTGTTTGGACACTATCTAGAACGAGTTTTGAATACAATTAGAACGAGTTTTGAATACAATTTAGAATATATAAATATTTTAAAATCATAAAATGGTAGTGGCAACTGAACATTTCTACCAATTTGATTCCGTTGTAAAAAGCCCGCCAAAACTGAGTAATGAAAAGAACACCCATTATATCGCTGGGTATTTTTTAGTGCTTGTCCACCGCGATACTATCGATTGTGACACCTCTTCTAGTGACCAGATTGAATGTGTGTCGGCTGACGGAAAAACAGAAAAGCCATTAGAAATATGGTATGTAAACAGGTGAAAATTGTGGGAAAAAGCGCCGGATAGTGTGTGCCAGCGAAGTGAAATGAAAACGGCTGAATTGCTAACGTATTTTGTGTGTAAATAGAGCGCAACAAATTATCCGCGAGGCGAAGTGCCCGACTATCGGTTCTCTCCCGCCGTTCGGTTGTGTGTATAAACATGGCGTCGTTGTGGCTCGAGATGCCGAACAGAGTGGGTGCGAGCGGGACGACCAGTGTGTGTGTGTGCGCCTCATAGATTTGCAATGTTGTTTTTTCTATCGCCTCTCTCGTTTCTCTCACTCGCTCGCTCGGCGAAGAAGACACGCATACACAAACTCGCAACTGCCGAAGACCTAACTCACACTCAAACTGCGATTCGATTAAAAAAGAAATAGGCGCACCGAAATCCATCGTATTGGCCGCCAAAAAATTAGCAAGTGTAATCCAATTGTGACTTTGTATCTTTCCATGCCATCGTCGCACGAAAAGGATGCTAACAAAGCGGCAGAAACGGCAGCCAAAGAAAATGCCGCCGATAAGGTAAGCGATGTGGAAAATGCATCGGTCGCCGCGGGGGTGGCGAAAGCCGAGGGGGCCCAGCCGGAACGGGGGCCCAAAGATGCAGCCGAATCCCCCGCCGCTGCCGACGCCTCTGCCGCCGCCGCTGATGACGTCGCTGATAAAAAAGCCAAAGGAGACTCAACGGCAGTTTCAAATCCCGAATCGGATGCAGGTAAATAAAAAAGCAAAAGCCACGCGCACACAATCATAATTGTGGCTAACTGTGTGTGTGTGTGTGAAGAACGAGAGAGAAAAACAAAAGTCACAAAGTGAATTTACCGCGCATTTCAAAAAACGCGCCGAACTTTTTAGCTCTCTTTTCGGGAAAGTTCTTTTCCTCTCTCGTTCTTTACGTTGGGCTACTTATTGGGAGAGTTCCGATGTGGCGCTGCGGTCTAAAGCGTCGTTCCTGTTTGTCTCTCTTGTTTACCGCGCTATGCTGATGCTGGCATGTGGTTCGATCCCGCTCCGTGGCGATGTTTACAAAAATATTATTTGAATTTTGATGTTGATGACGGTGGGCTTCTTTCTGCTCTCTTATACTTTACTTCCTTCCTAGGCTTTTGTTCATGCTAAATCCTTTAAATGGGTTCTGCGTAGTTAATGCCGAGGTACAGCAAAACTTCAATATTCATGTTCCCTTGCGCTCCCAAAACAAATTAGCATTGGACTTCCCAAGGTTGAAGATATTCTTTTTTATTTCATTATACTTATGTGTAAGCACTTAAGCTTTTACAAGTCATAACTAAATTTAACAATTATCTGCAGCGGACAAAAAGGAGAAATCCCCCTCGCCGGCATTAAAGAAGTCCAACAATAAGGATGCTAAAAAGGAGGACAACTCCGAGAAGGACGAGGAGAACACGGAAGACGGCGATGATCCAGAGGAGGAGGATGAAAAGGCTAGCGATGAAGAGATTGAGAAAAAGAAATCCAAATCAGATGCAGAGGACAAGAAAAAGGAAACCACTGATGAGTCCAAGCCAAAGTCCGGAGCCAATAAGCCCAAGAAACCCGAGCCCAAGGCCAAGAATGGTAAGGTGGCCAAGGAAGAGGACGATGACGAAGAGGACGAGGATGATGAGGATGCCGAAGATGATGATGGAGAGGAGAACGATGGCCTGGACAAGAACAACGAGGTGGCCGAGGATGATGAGAATGTCGTGGCTCTCGCCGAGATTGATCGGATCAATGAGAATATAAACAAGACTCGTGTAGATGGCCTGCAAACATTGCATGCAGTAAGTCAGCGGAAAAATATATTTCCCGAAAACTTGTTCATCATTTCACTCCTCATTTACAGATCTGCTTTGGTGCACATGGCAAGAACAATGTGGTCAAGAAGAACTTACGCTCCTTTGCCGGTTTCGAGTTTGCCAAGGATTCAGCGGAGTACAACAAAAAGCTAGATGCCATCAAAAAGGTGGATAATAAGGGGCTGCGCAGCATCTGCGAGATCCTTACCCTCGATCGCAAGGGCAGCAAGAACGAGACTGTCCTGCGCGTGCTCAAATTCCTAATGGAACCCGACGAGTCGCTTTGCTTGGAGCAGGGCGATGAGGAGGAGGAGGAAGATCCCGAGGACGAGGATCTGGATGAAGATGAGGAGGACCCGCCCAGTGAAGAGGACAAGAAGCGCAAGAGCGGAAAGTCTAGCGGCGGCGCTGGAAGAGGCTCTGCACGCAACTCCACCGGACGTCCGCGTCGTTCGACGGCAGGAAAGAGTATGCTCATCTAAATTAAAAGTAAATTATATATCTAAACATGTTTACGTTATAACTTTCAGAAATGTCCGCCTATGTAGATTTCTCAAGCTCTGAGGAGAGCGAGCAGAAAGTGGCACTTCCCAAAAGAAGACGAAATGATGACTCTGAATCAGGCTCAGATGTAAGTATCCTTCAACCAGAAACCATACACACAAATTTGGCTAATGTGCCGTTTTGCTTACAGTACAATCCTTCTGCCAATTCCGACTCCGATGGTGGTCGTGGTGGTGGTGCTGGTGCAGCGGGTCGCAAAGTCCCAAGCCGCGGCGGTCGCGGTCGTCCTGCGCGCAAAAGCCGCAGAAGAAACTCTGATTCCGAGGAGGAAGAGGAATCGGAAGTTTCCGATGCCGATAGTGATGTATGTATTACTATAAATGTATGACCAAGTGACCTGTATTGAAATATCCACATCACCAGGTCCCAAAACGCAAACGTGGTTCCGTGGGGAAACGTGGGCGACCGGCAGCTCCTGCGTCAGCTGGACGAAGGGGTAGAGGGCGAGGTGCAGCTTCCCGAAAGCGCAAAGATTCAGATAGCGAAGATGAGGAGGTATCTGAGGATGAAGAGGAGGAGGACGTCTCTGATTTTGCCAGCGACCAAAGCGAAGTATGTAAATTAATTTCCTTTTTATATACTTTCCCTTTATACTTTATACATTTGTCATCTTTATAGGAGGAACGTCCCAAAAAGAGTAAGAAGCCCATTACGCCTGCGAAAAATAGCAAAGCTAACAACAAGTCAAAACCAGCTGGAAAGGGTATGTTTCAAATAACGTGATAAATAATAATATGAAATAATAATTATTGTAATCCGTAGCCGATAGTCGATCGAAAAAATCAAAGAAGGAATCGTCCGAGGAAGATGATGATGTGGATGACAAAGATGAATCCGACGAGGATGAGCCACTAACCAAAAAGGGCAAACAGGCATTCCCAACGGTTGGTAGCACCTCATCGAAATCGTAATGTGTAATCCTCATCGAACATCTCATTGCAGGATGAACAAATACGCGGATATGTCAAAGAGATTCTGGATAAAGCAAATCTGGAGGAGATTACCATGAAAACTGTGTGCAAACAAGTGTATGCAAAATATCCAGACTTTGATCTAACAGACAAGAAAGACTTCATCAAGGCAACAGTGAAAGCGGTAAGTTACTACATATTTATAATTTGCGTTCCTTTAACTCAATTACTTTCCCTATTCTTAGTTAATTGCGACATAAAACGACGTGTACACAAAGCCACTTAGAAGTCGGAGAATGGTCCAGGCTCTGTAGACACACAAAACAAAACAAAACAGGCGTCAGCAAAGTCACGACGTTGTACGCCGATACAGAATGAAGTGGGGCATGGTTCGCGAAATGTAACTCCTAGTAGTTGTCCTATAAGTATATGATTTGTACTCCTATCCTAAAAGCTATCTGCAGTTCACCTTAATCCTAACGTCAGCGGCAGTAAACTATCCATTCTTATATATATTCATCTGTATATATAACTTTTTATTTGTCCAACCGTGCGCACGCATACACATTATTTTCTATTTTCTTGAAAGTATGTGCTCTCGACAGCTCTGCAATGTGTGTAAATTAAGCAAAGAGAAACTTGTAAAAATCCGATGAAAAAAAACACCTAAACTGTAGTGCATTTTGATTTGACGTTCAACAAAAAATGATGTATTTAACATTAAGGCACAAGAAATAATAAACAAAAAGCAAAATTAAAAATTTACAAAGGCGTGAAATATCTGAATTTCACACACTGTCAGCAGTACAAAAACAAACGAAAGTGGAAAAACTTTTTAAATTTACACGATTACAAAACTTTTTTGGCCAATGTAAAAAAAGAAATGTATCCTTTTGGGCGAGTAATTTTAAGGCACACTTGAGCGGAGCTCCTGATCCAAATGTTTAACTGCTGTTCCCATTTTCGTGTCTCCGTCGCATCCCAACTCCTGTTCAACCCAAATGCTTGGGCCCCAGTGTGATTGAAGATAGGAAGGTTTCTCGGCTAATTAACTAGAGACAAGCTCACAACAAATTGTGAGTAAAATAAAAAAACAAGATTGAAAATGGAATGAGGAAAAGAATAAAGTTAAATATTATAAATATTAGATATTTACAAGGTAATAATAGATGTATGTTAATTTTAAAAGAACAAACGAATAGAAAAACCGAATATTTAACGTTTAATTGCCTGCAAGACAAAAGTAAAAGAACAAAATCCGTTTGAATATTATCAAAGTCGTCGCCTCTCAATGGAAGTTTTCTTGTAGTAAACTCGTAAATCAATATATCAAAGACAACACTAATTAAACCCCACTAAATTAGTTTAGCCCCAGACATTGGCAACTAAGCTATATAATCTTGTGCATTCTGTTCTGTTTCAATTTTAAATGTTCGCTGAAAAATGCTAAAAGGAATGCAGTGTATCAGTAATAAAGTGCTACAAATTAAGAGAAACATCAATTTTCTGAATGGGTTGGAAAAATGGATACAAGTCCCAGTGGCGGATCTAATCTGGTTTTTCTGAAAACATCCTTTTTAAATAGTCCATATATTAAACCTAACTTAATTTGAAGGAAAAAATAGGCTTTATTTGGGTGTCAAATGGGAAGTTTATTTGGAATTTTTAATTGTTCAATTAGGACATTTTCTACAATTATCTACACGATTTAAGAAAAGAATTAAACTAATTTCTGTCGGGGATTTACCGGGTGGTAAGTGAAAGCTGTCGAGTGGACAAAACGCTGAAACATACAGATAGTCAGTTATGATTCAGATATAATATATTGTCAAAAATAGTTATTACATGTTAAAAAAAAAATGTAAATATCAATTTCGGGGCAAAAATACATATATCAATGAGAAGTGTGGATAATACAGGAGAAGGAATCAACTTTTCTCTCATAGTTCCTGCAAATAGATCAAAGCACGTAATTTAAATGAAACGAATGGAAATGTATGCACAAATGTAAATTTCAAAAATATCATTTGATTGCAAAATAAACGGCTTGACATTGGACCCAAATGAAATGCTCAACGAAATGGGTTATTGAACGTTCTACTTTTAATATGTGGTTGGGTCATACTTACCTTAGTCGAGTACTCAGGATACGCAGGATGTCCTTTAAAACTTTCGCTAGAATGAAAAGAAGAAAAACGACTTCCCACAACCGTTGAAAATTGGGATCTCTTTTTTCAAACTGCCATAGTAAAACCATTGAAAAGTTATTCGGATAGTTTCCTAATTCTAGACCTGAATCACTCTTATTATACGAAATATATTTTTATATATAGTACACAATATGGAATAGCATAAATTAAGCATTGGTTTGAGGGCCAATGTAAACCGCTTATAGAGCAAGCAAATGATACCTTCAAACGATATTTTACAAATATGTATACAGCACAGTATAGTAGGGAGCACTGTTCGGGAAATCAAATATCGTTCCTTTTGCTAGGCAATTATCGAGAAATACGTATATAAATATATGTATATAGGAATAGTATGTATTATAAAGAATATTCAGGATAATCAGTTATGGGTATAATATATGTGCAGTTTGATATTAAAATTGTACTCCAATGTGGTTCCAAGCATACCTAATGTGGCAATCAATCGACCATCATTGGGAAAAGTCAAAAGCCCGTCCCGATCCCCAAGATTTCTTCCACGAGCAAGTCCCAGAACCTCTGAAAATACGCTCAATAAACGATTTTCATATGTGGCATAAACAATCAGCTGGATATATAAATCAAGAGCGATACAGTCGAGTCCCGACTATTTGATACCCGTTACTATATACGAATTATTAAAGTTTTCATTTAAGTTGAGGGAACTAGAAACATGTATGCATAATCCTTAGGCTCAGCGGAAAATCAAGACAACCAGACCAACCTTAAAAAATAAATAGAACTGCCAAGACAAGTAACGGGTATAAATATAATTAATAGAAACGCAATAGGACACACAGCACCGAAGTGCTCTGTGCTGGCAATATGTATGTGGATATATATTATACGGTATATTAAATGTTTATTCAATGCTTTGCCGGCCGCAGGACGGAGATCAGGATTTGGATGGTACTGATCCCGAACTGATCCTGCGTGGCCGAACAACGGTTACAATATGGTTCATCTGCTGTTGCAACAATCAGATATTTGGGGACACGTAAAACTTAGATTATATGTCGATATTAAGACTAAATTATGGTAGACCTACATTCATTGGGTAAGTTTCATTGTTTGAATTGCAATATGTTTAATAGACAGTAATAACAACACACAATCTTACCAAGTTTGACACTTTTACAATATATGGTTCGTATTTCATCGTTTTTTTTTGTTCTTTTGTTATAGTGTGAAAAAGTTTTGGGGTTTGATTTCGTATTTCTGCTATTAACTGGTCTGAAGAGCGGCCTCTGAAAATAACATACTTTATGTTTGCATTTGGTGAAATAAATATTAAGATACAAGCATGATTATCTTGCGCGTTCTTTGAATGGTAGATATTGCAAGTGTATTGAAACCAGGTTTATAATTAAAAAAAATACAAATATAGAACAGGAAATAATTTAGAAGTCACCTTAGTGGTACAAAAATGATTTCATGGGTTCTCCAGAACTGAAAGATGAAAATATTGTTATGCAAAATGTTATATCAATTAAAGAAGAAAACCATTTTAACAGGCTTGGTACCTCACTTGAATCAAATTTAATAAAAGGTTCGATCAAATCTTTTTAAATCTTACCAGATCAGCAGACATATATGATAATTCGTAAATGTCGATCATATCTAGTTCAAATCGATTTTAGTACAACTAAGCTAAGCTAAGTACGTGAAAATGAGTTCATGTATATAAAACGTTCGATCTTTATTGCTGTAAATATATGCGTACGCTGCTATCTGTATAGTATAATTCAGTTATTGCAATTGAGAATTTTCACAAAGGGTGCCTTTCAATACTTAAACACCCACTGCAGATTAGTTGCCTGAATTGACGGTGAAAAATGTATATATATATGCAGATGTGTATAAAAAATGAACAAAACACCCAAAACGGATTCAATTAGCGTCTCTTTGTATGTGCAAGTGGTGATCATGAACAGCAAGAGCATTATGTTTCATTCGGTCGGAATTATGTATAATTATTAGGTAAAAGTAGACTTAGGATCTCGGGGGAATCTCTTACAAACTAGTAGGGAAATTGTAGGCAATATCCAAATAATAGACAATATTAATAATATTAATTTACATTTCTGCAAAATCAGAAATACGGGTCCTCGTCTGATGTCCGCCGCCTTCATTCCGCCGTGTGTTGTCTGTGTGGTGATGCTTCTGCTTCTGTTTCTGCTTTTGCTGTTGTTATTGCAATTAAAAATCATTTGCTTTTGCTCTTTATTTCTGATTTGCTAGTTTTGTGGGGGGATTAAAAGACATAGGACATAGTAGAACAATAGATCACTGCAAAGAGTTTTACGCATGGTAAACAAGATTTGGTTAGGCTATTATATGTCATTATGCAGGCAATGGATCACACCATCTTCCAATTTGGAGGTCAATGATTATCATCTGCAACATATAACTTATCCGATAAGGGCTACTACTATTGCAGATGATTATCATTGGCTAAACCCTTTGATCTCAGCCAAAATAGCAATTTGTACTGACTTAATTGGAAAATGTCGACCCAAAATTTTATTGTGTAAAAATATATGTAATGCAGACAGGGAGAGTACTGATTTTATAAAATAAAGCGATCATTTAAGGCAGATGGGCAAAGCAAAAATACGTAATGCACAATTTATGGGCGGCAATTTAAATAGATATACATAAACACACTCCTCTGACAACTAGTGGAAATGTTTCGGCATTAAAACTCACCCCATTCAAGGCACCTGCATCGTCCTCAGACCGCAGCATCTTCCACTTCGGCGTTCGCTTCCACTCCCACATACGCCTCCTCTCCGCCCCTGATTCCGATCCCACCGAACGTCCTCAGTGTTTGTCGTTTTTGTGCGATTTCTGTTGCTGCTGTTGTTGCCCCGGCGCACCGGGATAGCCGCCGTAGCCAGCGCCCGGATAATTGCCAGGATAGTTGGCCGGCGGACCGCCCTGCCCTCCGCCAGGCTGAGGCGCTCCCTGAGGCTGACCACCAGCTGCAGCCGCAGCTGCATAATACTGCGAATACTGTGCATACTGACTGGGCGTCATGCTCTGGCCAT